CCTCCTGTGTTTGCGAAACGCCCGGTCCCTGCGGCTCATAGCCATCCTTATCCCAGGAGTCATTCATGGCGCCGGTGGCCGTTTCACCTCCAATCATTATACCTGTATAATATTTTTTATTTTCAAAACATAGAGGAACTAAAATTATATTAAAGTTGATTATTTAAGTGATATTTTATCATTGAACAAGACGTTTGCAAACAAAATTTGATTTTTTTGGAGTTATCTTTTTTTTTTTCAATTAAAGGTCATTTACATAGAAAGCATTTTTACTGACTGTACCTTATATCTTTGAACTTGTTTTGGTATTAGTTTAAACAATGGTATCGGTTCGGAATAGAAAAAAAATATGAATTCAAACAAATACCAGTGGTATTAGTTTTTGGTATTAGAATGGAATAAATCATTTGTCAAACAGGGTAGATCGTTAATTGAATGACTTTTAAATCAGTCGGCTGTGAAATGTGCACTACCCGATTATAAATATTGCACATCGACCTTTGGACTCAGAGACACCCTGCGTTTGCAGCTCATAATTATGGGCTGCTAAAGCTATTGGAATACTCTTCCTAGAGACTCTCCTTAGAGAGTATTCCAATAGCCAAGAGTAGTCCAATAATAATCATGAAAATTGTCTCTTCCAAAAGATGTATGTTTATTACTATTTTACGTTAATATTACTGAACGGATCTGAATGTTGCATAGTCAAAAATGGCTACTATTTTATATCCCGAAAAACATTTTAAGCTGCCGACCGTATTAAGTGTGTGGGTACGTAAGGTATATAGGTATATGTTATTTAATAACATCGCTATATTATACACTCCCTCTTGCCACGCAGATCGGGTTAAGCTTTTATGTTTTTCTTCCTCAAAAAACCCGCAGCGCCAACTGAAAGGCAGCCCTAATGGGCTTTATTTGTGGTGGTCTAATGGCATGTTAACCCACTGCTGCACTGATAGCCTCTTCTATATAAAGAACAAACCATACTAGTGAGGCTATTTAGACTAACATCTTTTGCTAATCGAGTGGTCGAAAGCTTAGTGATTGAAAAAAAATATATTATAACAGTGTTTAAAATTCCTTAGTCAATTAAATAATCTAAATCGATTGACTTGAATTAGAAGCAATAGTACCCTATTGCCATCAGCCGGGGTTGCGGGGTAATCGCGATAAGGCACCGCGACCTCGGCCCAGAGCAGGAGAAGGAACAGGGGGTTTTTAGTCAGTAAGAGTCTGACACTCCCGGGCCTGGGTAGGAAAATTCATTTGATGATTTTCCCCTCACAAAAAAACCCTATTGCCATAGCAATAACTATACATTTCTTTTATTACACGGGTAATTTTATATGCATAACTGTGTACCACATATGTGTTGGCAGTTTCAGACAACAACAAATGCCATGACAGGTATTGGAAAACATGAATTAGTGCGCATAATGACGTCAAACAAAAAGGAGCATATGCATAGAAAGCTGGTGTTCTGGTTCGTCTGAATGTCTGTCTGCGCAGGCGCATTGAGCGAGTTGCGCACGCGCCACTGCCCCACTTGGCGGTCGTTGTCTTGTAGACCACGTTACGTGATAGAACTGACGATGGTGTTTAATTGTTACGTGTCTGTAGAGAAACAGAACGCACATTTGATATAGTGATATACTGTTGAATAGAATACATTGTAGCCAAGAATAATATCATTTTTGTAATACTTATGCAATTAAGTGTGTTGTTATAGTCATAGTCATATTTTAGGGTAATTTGTGTTATGATAAGCTAAAAATATTATTATCTGAATATTAAAGAAGGCTTGGCTGACGATTATATTTTTATTTTTATTTGCGAAGCTTTATTTGAACTAACTTTTATTAAAAATATTGGCTAACAATAAAAGTGCAACACGATTCAAGTTAATTTGTACGTCGAATATAAATCATTTTAATTTAATGCGTCAATTAAGCGCATTATTCCGTGCACTACACACAAAACGTAATGAATATTAATAAGTATCAAGTTCATGGACATTCACGATATTAAAGAAAAGACTTACGAGAACTTAAGAACCTAATCGTTTTAGGTACTAATTCTGGAAATTTCTAAGTGAATTTTCGAATTACGAATTACGTCATGATTATCATAATGTATACGACCAAGTTTATTGTATTATATATCATAGCGATATTATGTATTCATAAGAGTGCATTAATGAAAGATTAGATTTAACATACTAGCTATTGACCGTGACTGCGTTCACGCGTATTATGAAAACCGACTGCATGGTTGACACGCTGGCTGGACAATCGGCTGCCGTGCAACGTGCAAGGTGCGATTCTTAGACGGAAGAACTCTTTGTGTTTTATAGGTAGGTATATAATACGTCGGCAAACGAGCAAAACGGATAACCTGATGGTAAGCAATCAGCGCCGCCCATGGTCACCCGAAATGACGGAGGAGTAACGAGTGTGTTGCCGACCTTTTGGGGATTAAAGAGTTGGAGATTTTGGGAATTAGGAGGGGCCGAGAGATTGTTGTTTTGGGTGTGATGTTTATATGAGAATTGTATTATTTTAAACGTATACACGACACATGAGGAAATTCTGGTGTGGGTTAGCGATTTTTCAAAAATAAAACTGGCCAGGTACTGTTTATAGTGTGTTTTGTATAACTAAAGACTAACGGACGGATAGCGAAATATTTGTAGTAACGAGCCGTTTTACCAAATTTTATCTAGTATTTTAGGTATAGATTTTTTTATCTGTTTGTTATGTCATGTCACACCCTTCTAGATTATAATGTAGTCTGCTTCTTTTTAAGCACACTATCACAATATGCAGAAAATATAATATAATTAAGTGTTTAAGTTAACAAACAACAACAAACATGTTGTACCAATCGTTTCTATGTTACAAATATTAAACTTTCATTCAGTAAAGACGTATAGATACGGCAACGTCTTTATAAAAAAAAAAATAGATTATTGTAATTTGTTTTTGCTAAGATTCTTTTTTAAATAAACAATTCGTTCTGCAGAAAATTTACAATAAAAACCGAAGCGTGAATTTAGAATAGACTATAAATATTCGTAAAGTATTAATAAATTGTGAATATTTAGATACACGCCTACATCATGTCTAAACTTGATTATTATTATTACTATCATTAATACCCATGCACTTTCTAACTATTAGAAAGCAAATAAGTAACTAAATCTAAACTATAAGTAGTTAAGTACATCAATTATTTTGAAATAATATTACTGATTTAACTTTCAATTACATTAGCTATGTTCTAATTTATAGTTACAACTACATTTTAAATATCGAACGACAATAAGGATGAACAATTTGAAAATGACATCCAAGCGTTTTTTAATACATATTTACAGGCATTAATTTTGTGTATGAGTGTTTAATTAAAACAATTGATATTTGTTTTACTATGACTTAAATTGTTAATACATTATTTGATTCATGAATCATAATAACGTTTTTTCGCGAAACACAATAACAAAACTCTCACTTTTTATTAAAGAAGTCATGTCATAATATTTTGTACCTACAAGCATCATAAGAAGGTTACCAAATAATCAACATACGGCTGCTAACAACAGCCTCTGTGTGTAACTTTACGTACAAATAACAACAAGAGTGGTCAGAATTCGATCCCGACCACTTTCTCCGCGGGAAAGTGACCACTCATGGACCAAATGCCGATGGTGGCCGACCCGACCGGTTTACTACGGGCGACGTGAATTGGCCACGAAGGCAGACAGACATACGTACATACAAAGTAATTTTCGTTGATTGTTGTAAGGTTATAGGTATAAAGTTTATATTTGTAAAAAATAACTATTAAGTGTTGCAGAGATACTATGAGAGATATTTTGAATACGATGCTGTATGGTGATGAGAAATTGTTGTTTGTTAACTTTTCTCAAATAATATCCCAATCATGTTTTTTCTTCTGGAATTAGTAATTAATAATTATTATTTATTAAGTACCATTTACATTTATGAGGTACTTACTTTGAGTTGTGTTAACAATTTTGTTTAATTGTTTATTTCAACGTTTCACTATATACCAATATTTATAAACTAAAGAGTTTGTTTGAATACCCGGAAGGTCCGAATTTAACAATTATTATTGTGTTGGATAGTCCATTAATCGAGGGGCTATAAAATATCGCTACCTATTAGGATAATATTTTTTTGATTTAGCATGTAATTTATCACTACAAATGTAACAGACAAAACCTTAGGTGAAACATAGTATGTCAGAAAGTTCATTTATGCCAATGCACAGCGCTACTACTATATCCGAGATCATTGTACTGTATGAGACGTTTCTGGAAGTTGTGAGAGAAACTCATATCTAAGAAATTATGTTCTACAGTTTCTTAATTTCCTCTACGCTTAGACAAATGTACAAATGGCCGCTCATGGAAGTTTAAGTTTGCTAGACATATGTATATCAAATGCTTGTTTTTGGGAAAATGCATGCACTGCAAACCAATAAAAAATCAAAGGCAAGACTGTAAACGGATTACTGAAGTAAAAACGTTAAACGTATTGCTTACAAGCAAACGAACAAAAACGTCTGCATCCGTCAATTAACCTAGCGAACAATTTTCACAGGCCAAAAAAGCTTACATTAATTGCCTATCATTTCCTTACCAAGTGTGCGCTACAATCAACACTTTGAATGCCGACTTTACTTGACACTGAATTCTACATACCCGACCAACTGCGTCTGTGCTTTCACCCATCCTTCGCGAGAGAGCGAGAGGTCCGACGGACAGTTTTCCTTTCTCGCCCACTGTTATACGTCACTGCACATTTCTCCCGATGCTACTCGACGCTTACAACAAATCAGTGTCGCTGTTACTACGGTGTCGTCTGCGTATTTACATCCAGACTGTGTGAACTCGTATAATATTGTATTTATTAAAACGTGGATCAAAGGTGTTGGATACATCAGTGTTTATTTAATTTTTATTTATTACTGAAGTTCGATACGAGAAGGTAAGGATTTATTGAGTTTTTATTTTTAATTTAAAATGTACTTTAATTGAGAAACATTTAATATAGTTTTTCTGCAAAAATAAAATGAAAAATTGTTTACGTTTAAAGATCTAAGAGAATATAAACACGCAGCTCAAAGAGATTAAACTTAACGAGTCGATGCAACACGCAGTGTAAAAGATTTCAACGCGTTCAAGCTAAACCTAAGATAATTTCTATAAATATATATTTGTTCATAAATGAAATAAACAATTTTGAAAGAGAAACAAATATGTTTTTGTTTTCACATGTATGTTATATTTTTCTAGACTCTAAATAAATTAAAGAAGTCGTAAGAACACAAATTCTATTTAAAAATCAATGATAAAAAATTTCATAATTATTAAAAATAACATATTTTGTCTTTACATTTGCAGGCAGGGAGCCAGTCTTCAAGATGAAGCTCTCCCTGGTTTTCGAGTTGCTTCTAATATTCATACTCTTGGCTTTTGCCGCATCGAAGAGTGTCAGTAAGTATAATTAACTAAATCAGTAGATATCGGTAGTCATGTTTAAGTCAATAAGCAGTCAGAATCACTTCCTTATAGAGTCAATAATGTTATTTGATTGATTGCGACCTGTCACTTACATAATTACACATTGTTGCTGAATTAATAAAGCCTATCGAACATTTTGTAGCTATTGTCAATTTATGAATTTGTACGTACGTAGGTATACTCAGAAAAAACTGTGAAAGTCAGCGATCGACCGGTGGTCATCAATTTTTTTGCGCTGAATTACTTTCAGTGAACATCACGTAGCGTGTTGATTTCAATTTTTTTCCAACCGACATATGTATAAAGTGTCTGCATGATTGGAATTATGTTGATATGTTTTTCGTACTAATCTTTAATAAACCTTTCATATATAAATTATTAATTATTCTGTTTGTTTTCATGCAATCACTCAATGTGTTAGGCGTACGACATTAATCTTGTGTTTGCTCAACAAATTAGTGAAATCAATATATCAAATTGGAGTTCGCGTTTTAATTGATGATACTCAAAAGACATTATAACAAGAGACGCAATGAGTGATTAACATTGTTTGGATACGAACCAGTAAATAATACTTAGCTTACAGTCACATGACACGAGTATTTACTTGTGAAATTATATTTGATTATGAAGACACATAGCATACCTAATAATATGTAATTAAAAATGAAATTTAGCAACTTTGAATATTTTTTCTCTATTTTAAATTGCCAAACAGCTGTTGACCACCAGTTTTATTATCAAAATAATTATATAGCAGACTTTTCAATTTTGAAATACTATACTCATACTTCATTCGAAATATTATATTAATACAATACTTATACTTGAAAACTCGAATCTTTCTTATAATGTGGCGTATAGATACAAACGTGTCTGGTTTTAAATAACAAATATGAAGGAAGATATATTTAAATGTATGTTATTGACAGGAAAAGAAAAGAACAATGTGAAGAAAGGTATACAGAACAGGAATGATGACGACAAAGTTGACGAGAACAGCATAAACAAGTACTGCAAATGTGTGGAGGCTTACTGCAACTGCTGCCGTGAGTTCCGACTGCCAGTAGTCGAACTAAATGGACCAGGTACACTTTTTATACATAATAATTTCTTCTTAGATAAAAATCCTTATTCCTATGTACGTTTAGATAACTCTAGTATGTAATATAAAAAAATAAGTTTAGTATTGTTATGTTATGAGTTGAATATTATTTGTCACCAAAAATATTTAACATAAAACGAAAGTGATATCGTATTGGCTAACCTAACCATTAATATTCATGGTTAAAACCAATTTCACATTCACATATCCTGGGACCCTCTTTGAATATAAGTTTCAAAAATTCTTATAATATCTGCATATTATGCAGGATATTATGTTGATCGTTGAGAGCTGCAGTATGTTAGGCACATTATAAAAGCGAATCGAGTCAAGGCTCATTATCATCCTGATGGGAAAGCCCATAGAATGACTCACTACAATTATGTAATTAAGTAACACACCGGATCTTAGGCTAGAGAAATGAAGCTGATGAAATAAAACCAACTATTGAATAGTCGAGCGGTTTTTTTTTTATATTAATGGCTTTAGAAAGTCTAAAGGAAATTTATAAAGTTTAAAGATAATAAATAACTAAAGTAATCTGTTTACTTCCAGGATGTGCCTCCTTGATGTACCTCAACGGTGACAAAATGTCCGTTTCGTTGAGTTTTGGAAAGAAGGTCATCACAAACCGGACACTGTCCAGTGAGTATTTTGTTTTCACTTTTAATTTAAAGCTCATTTTTATGTATATTGGTTTATATATAACTTAGTGTTATTTTTGTTGAGGATTTGTAATTTGTATTAACATAATTTTTTCTTATGTACACAGGCCGTAAACCTAGCCCCGTTTGTATGCCGCTACCGGGTGGATTATCTAAATTTTGTGGACGAGTTTACAACATTGCTAGAGCTGGGGAAGAATTCAGAGCTTGCCTTGGCTTAGAACTTCAATCGAAAAGCACAGTGGAGGCTGCTGTTCGAGTGTCCTGCTTCAAGTTTGGCCCGAGGGGCGTGACCTCGGAACCGGCTGATCCACTGCCATTAGTCCCTCAGGATGAAAAGGCTGAGGACGATGACGATGATGATTACGAAGATGATGATACATTTGGATTAGGTGCTGATGAAGATGATGACGATGACGACGACGACGATGACGATGATGACGGTATGTTATCCACATGACAACAAAAAGTATTTTGTAGATATATTAACTGTTATTATTATTTTCATGTATTAATATTTTTTCGTACAAATTTTCAGGTACACTCGATGCCGTCAACGATGTAGACAGTGCAGATTACACAGGTTTCAGTCTTCTCGGTGAAGATATTCTAGGAGATCTGTTTGGATCAACAGGTGGTAAAAAATCGAACAAAAATAAGAAAAAGCAAGCACCTGCCCCGTCTACCACTACGACCACTACCACGAGGCGCCCCCGTCCTTCGAGACGACCTTCCAGAAGACCTGGTACGAAATCTACAACACCACGGCCTAGACGCACTACGACTGTGAAAACTAGACCTTCTGCTGGAAACAAGCGTCCGACTCGCAGACCGAACAGAAGACCAACGAGAAGGCCAACTACTGAAAGTATTTCAACGTCAATTTTGACAACTACCACCACCGTGAGCCCCGCGCCTAGTTCAATTTCTACTTCTCAAGTAACGGAAAGGATTCCTATAATGACCACCATTCAAGAGCAGTCCCAATCCCCAGTCTCTGCCTTTGCCGAAAACCCAACACCAGCCATAGTAGCTGTCACCACAGCTAAAAGTGTGACCGACTTTGAAGACCCCGGACTAGAAATGTCTTTAGCTCACATTACTGGGCAATTATCTGCAATGCCTGTAACACCCATGATTTCAAATGACGGCAAAGTTTCCAGTGTTATGGATAAAGAAGAAGAATCAGACAACTACGAGAAAATAATGACTATTACCCCAAAAACACCATCAACCATATCATTTGTACCAACCTCCGAAGAAACCGTAAATGAAGATATGATTCAAATAGTGCAAAGTCTGGACTCTGCTGAAAGGGAACCGATTTCTGGAGATGAAAGTAGAGCTCACATGTATCAGTTTGGTTCTCCAGTCCCAGACAGTTACTATGAAGGTCTAAGTCTACCAAAGAAGAAGAATAGAAACAAGCAATTTAACTTCCGTGATTTAGACGTGCTTAATTTGAGCCAAATTGGTGAAACTTTGGGAGACGAACTGGGAATATTTGGTAAAAATAAGAGGCAACACAGAGACAACAAGGATACAAAAGTTCAGGGTCAAAAAGAACAAAGCGATGAGTATGATGACTTTGTTGACACGATAAGTGATATGGCGCTCATGATGAGGAAAGACAGCAATAAAAACCAAAAAAATAAAAAGGACAGAAGAAGACAGAACAAAATGATGCGCGAGTGGTCACAAGTATGACGTCACAGTCAGGCTAGTTCTAAGTAGATTTAAAACTATTTATTTTTATATTTAACTTATTTCATTGTGTGTGTTGTAAATAGAAAAAAAATGTACGAGATTATTTATTTTGCATGAATGAGTAAATTAATTTCCAATATTAATTCTTGAATTTATTTATGTATGCTATAATCCCAAACTCATCCCTACTGAACCAATGTTTATCCCTCTCTAAGAGACAAAATATTAGAAAGAAATTAACAATAACAAAGAAGTAGGCACCTTTATGAAAGTTATTTGTCTAATAAAGAAATAGCAAATTTATAATAAAGTATAACAATATCCAATTGGGTATTAAAACAAATATAAAAGGGAATAATGTAGAATGGTAGTTAAGTATGATTTTGACTAATCAGAAAAAGTTACAAAGTGTACATAGTTATAATTATTTTTTGGTCAGAACGAATAAATTCTTTTTCTTTCAATTATGCTGTAATAGCTTTCTTCGTTCTTTGAATTATAATTTAGTAGGTACGAATTATAGAAATGCAAAGAAAACATTATTTGCTATTGAAAATTTGAAGGCGCCTTTCGAGACGTTAAATTGCTATACTTTTTCAAATAGGAAACTTTCATTTTAAATCAACAGAAAAGTTGAAAATGTAGGTAAACCTATACAATTGAGTTATAAAATACTTATGAGCACAAAACGGTCTTCTAAAAAAAAATTCATTACAAAACATTATTATGTTAAAAATTACATTCAAATTACAATAATTAAATACCATATTCAAAGACATAAATAAATATGAATTTATTATTGAAATCAAAGTACCTATTCGATATTACATTGCAATATGGCGCCTTTTATTTGACTGTCAAAATCCTAAAACGGCAGAGAAAGCAATAAAGATTAACAATCCATATTCAACATAATGTATGTATTGCGCAATAACTCGCAATAAACATTAAATAATACTCTATAACATATTGCACCAATACATATTCACTTCACGCACCAATATTGAAAGTAAGCAACAACATAAGTAATATAGTTTTAAATTTCAACTTTCTCTCGTACTGACATTAAAATTTAAAACTTGTTCCTATCAATGACTGTACAAGCTTAAAATAAACATTGAATGTTTAGTGGTCGACAGTTAAATACTCCCTGTTACTTGTTACGTCTACAAACAGTAATGAGGAGTCAGGCTTAACTGTTCAACTTTCCTACCTCCTAAACAAAATGGGCCCTTCAATAAAATTATTCTTATTGTTAATTTTATCGACTTACCATTTAGGATCGGGTAAGAGATTATATTAAATCATTCTTGGTTTGTGGGATTGTGTATTTATGTGTGGTAATATGTTTCCATTAATTTTATTACAGCTGACAAGGCATACAAAGTGATAAAGTTCAAAGTACCTCATACAATTTGGAAGCAAGCGTTGCAGCCAACTCCTGTGCTTAAATCGTCTGTCACTATAACCGTACCCATAAACGTCCAGGATACAGAATATGACGAAGAATCTGAAGACGATGATAATGAAATCGAGGAAGAAATAGAAAATGATGTTCCGGCAGTGGTTGATACTGTTGTTCAGGCTGACAATGCTACTCAAGTGTTACAAGATCCCGTACCAGTAGCCACTACTGCTGCACCAGTTGCACAAAATCCAGTCGTACAAGACGAAGTTGTGACTCAAGCACCTGCGCAAGGCGTTCCCGGTCAAGTCTCGAGGTTCCCTTGTACATGTCGAAACAGACAATGTGGATGTTGTACAGGCGCCATTATGGACAGATTTAGAATGAAAGCGTGTGGAAATATAACCTTTGTGCCAGAAGACTTTGTATTCGACGTGAGGATGACCATCAACAATAACACTGTTGTGCGTCGAAGAGTTTCAGGTGAGAATGTATAGGAACTCAGTTTAAGAAAGTTCGTGTTCTTTTGTTCGAAGATTTTGTGTGGAATACAAATGAGCTATTTTTAAATCACTTTGCTAATAGAAAAAACAAAGGTGTTAATAGAAAGTTATTTCAGCCAGCGACCCACCGCCTATTTGCTTCAATCCTCGACGAGCACCATTTGTTCGAGTATGCATCGAAATATCAAACATTCAAATAAGGAACAGGAATGCCCATGCGTGCTTGGATATCAATGCAGATATTGGAGGCTTCCCAGTATATTCTGCGTCCTTCAGATGTTTTAGGTAATGGTAAAAGCAAAACAGCAAAACTGTTAATTACTACCTACCTAGCCAATAAATTTATCAATAGAGCATTCGTTTTTGTATGAAAAAATGACAAACATTTTAAACTAGAGTGCGTGAACATCAATTATCCATGTGAAAAAAATGGTTTTTCTTCATGTTATTAGCACCGACATTAAAACATTGTAAAGTCTCTGATTTATTGTGTTACGGGTTTTTGACGATCACTTGTATTAATAGCTAATTGCATAAATTAATAGTAGCATGTGTCCATAAAATATATGCTTGCCGTTGTATCTGTCGTTGATTCTAAGCCTGTGCATGTATAATTAATTTGTTGTTTGATGTTTCCAGAATGGGAGCATCCGGGATCCAAACTGGATTAAAACCTAGACCAGTTTCGTCAGGACCAAAACCAGTCAGTCTATTTGGCAATAGTAATAACGATGATGATGGTGGGAGCTTCTTAGAAAACGCTGCTGGCAATGTGTTTGGAGGTGACGGCTTATTCGGGGGCGGCGGCTCCAGCGACGCCGGTCCTTTTGACGGCCTCGGAGACGCGTTCGGAGACTTGTTCGATGGCGATTCGTAACCTATTGTGATTATAAATTTACATACCAGTATTTTTACCAATTGTACAAATTAATATTTATAATTTAGTTAAATAAGTCTATTTATTGTTTTCAATAAAATATGTGAATACAACTGAGCGTTCTCTTGATATCTTGTAAGGCGAATCAATCTGATGTTAATGTGAAAGTGTAGATAGTTATAAAATGAAGTAAACAGATCTTTCTCTGCCCCTGTTGAACCGGTTCACTGTCGTGGATGGGAATTGAAGTGCCTTGCTTGATCGGACTATACGCGCGCGCTGAGATTCGCGTCTTAAAATCAAACAAAATGTGTGCAGTGATTTTTTTATTCGCAGTTTTCTGCCTACAAAATATACAAGGAGGTAAGATGTAATAAAATTATCTATATTACCATTAACGAGTGCGGTTTTAATAGTGGAAATATACAATTTTTTCTAGCAAAGCTAGGAGATAATGTAAATAAAACAAATGTGGGAGATGTAAAGGGAATGGAAGTGCCTGATGACTTCCTGTTAATCATAGAACAACTGCGAAGTAATTCGTCTTTAATTACGAGAGCATTGGCGACGGCAAGACAGGATCAAGAGAATCAAAATGGAACATCTACGAACAACAGGCGCTGTGTTTGTGACAAAGGTGTTTGTAAATGCTGTACTGGTTACTTCATGGACTTGCTGCAGCAGAAGGCTTGTATGCGAGTCACTTATCACCCGGGAGACTTCGCCTTTGACGTAGCCATGTCTCTCAACAATAGAGTGCTTTATGAAAACTCTTTATCAGGTACGTGAAAATTTATATACTTACCGTACAAATATGCTAATTGCTTTCAGCGGACAATCACCTTTAAAATAGTTTTTATATTTATTTTAACGATAATGTTCATCATTATTTTCAGTAATTTTTCTAAGGTGAACGTCCAGCAAATATATAATAAGTTACCTAAAAAGAAACATATCTCAGCATTTGAGCATTTTTTGTGGTCTGTCTTACTTTTCAATAATTAATAAAAATATAGTATCTTCTAGAACCAAAAAGTTGTAGAATATTCTATATTAAATTGTAACTACATAAATCTCTACAATTTCTTTTACAGGAAAGAATCCAAAACCAATATGCATCAGTCCCCCAAGGATAAACAATTTGAAAGTTTGCGCGAAGTTCTACAATGTTTTCTTCCCGGGCCGAAACTTTCACTTTTGCTTGGCAATGACAGGACAGTGGCGGTCATTTGAACTCTTCAATTTCGCTTTTGACTGCCTCCGGTGAGTGACAAATTCTTCCTACCTAGTAAAGGAATTAAGCCTAACTTTCTACAGGTTACGTAACTGTAGTGTTTACATTGAGGTACTTTCTACTCAATCATTCTTCTTGGAAAACAAATCAGTTATAGAGACCACTGGAACTAATCTCTGGAACACTTTTTTTGAGGGGTAAAATCATCAAATGTATACCTCGCCCAGTATGAAGCGAGATGGCATGTCAGACTTCTACTAAGTAAAAACCACCCCGTCCCTTACCAAACTTACCTTCGACGCGGAACCGTATCGTTCTTGCCCCTTAACTCCGGTCTATTTCTTTCTCTGTAACTCTGCTACTATGTAAATCAGGGCATATACTGTGCTGATATCTAGCCGCGAATATTGTTTTCTAACACGAGTAGGTGCTAAAATCTAAAATATTTTATTAAAATATATTTTTCTCACACGCTTTTCTCACGCGGCTTTACCTTCTGCGGCTATAATCTTCCTCAATAAACAGACTAACGCACACACCAACAAATGTTTAATTCGATACCAGTAGTTTAAGAAATTTGCTCGTTCAAACAAACAAACAAACTCTACAGCTTTATACCTCAAAATATTAATACCTAGAGGTCATACATATATTTAAATTATATATAAGTATTTCAAGTTCTCTAAAACATATACGGAACATTTTCAGTCTATTGTTCTTCAAAAATCTTATAAGTATTTCTGTCAATGAACTTTTAGTATCGCATGTCATTTTATAGTAGGTGTAGGTATGTGAGTACAGTACAATAAATAATACTTTATTCGGCCATAAGTATCAGTTTATTGCTGGTTCAATTAAATTAATCACGAAGAGTATTCTTTTAAAGTAAACGACTTTTTTTAATGGTCACACCATTGGTCAAAGACCTCTTTAACTGTTGAAAAAATTCCAATAGTTTTTTCTTGTTGCAAACGAAATTACTTAATATGTGTAAATATTAAAATTCAATTCTACAACCCTATTATCAATGAAGTTGAAAGAGTATCAATAAGCAAACATTTTGAACATCTAGGATAGGGATTGAGTTGCCGGGTTGCGGGTTAAGCGCAATGAGTCACCGCGGCCTCGGCCCAGAGCAGGAGAAGGAACGGGGGGTTTTTAGTCAGTAAGAGTCTGACACTCTCTTTCGCGTAACCCTGGACGTGAGAAGTCATTTGATGATTTTCCCTTGACAAAAAAAAAAACGATAGGGCCTGCTTGCTTAGCACATTTTTCTGTTCCTAAACATACATGGGTACACTTTGCTCAAACCTCAAATCTAATACAAGATTGCAATTACGTAATCAGTTTACAAATTAGACACACCATCACACATCCACAGGCCTCTTCTCACACAGTAAAAGGCATTAATCACCACTCTTGCTCAAGGTGGACTGGCAATAATTAGAAATTATAAGCCCAAGTTTCCCCATGATATTTTTCTTCACCGTTTGTCTAATTAATGTGCCTAAATGATCATAAAAAGTACATAAAACTCTAAAAAAGTCACATGGTCTTGATTAGAATACGCACCCTCATGCTTGAAGAGAGGGTATCTTAACATCCGGGCCTCCACGACAACATTTTTTTAAACGTTGCCCCACTCTATGCTTTTCTCCTGTGTCGTGGGTACAAACATACAATTTCACATACACGTCACACCCAGACCCGGAACAACAATTTGTGGATCACACAACGAGTTGTTCATGCAGGAATCGAACCTGTGACACGTTGCACGGCAGCCAGTTGCCCAGGCATGGCGTGCAGATATCAATGGATTATCCTCCATTGATATCTGCACGGTTGTCAATTAGCCATTTACTAATAATATAAAATTATTCTCAGGATGGGAGCCAATGGAATAGCGATGGTGAAGCCTTATGACGATATTGGTATACCAATAGCCAATCCTCAAGGAGGAGTGGATGCTGTCGTGGACGCCGGCGAGGACGACATCGAAGACTATGATGAAAACGTCGTCAGGTCCATATTGAACCTCTTTGATCAAAAATAATAAAATGAAGACAGAAGAGAACTTGATACATTTTAAGAAAACATATGCTTTATGAAGCGCTATATTTATTTTTTAACTATTTGTAAGATGGATTTAATTTATTAAACTATTTATTTTTTGTAATTAATATGGTATATTTTTTATATCAAAATCTACAAATATGATCATCCTGAAAAGTCATTAAGTACAATAAAATACATATAACGCCCGGTAGTCTACAAAAGTGTAAGGAAAGCAACATAGTTTGCCAGTTATTATTATTAGCGTCAATGTAATAAAGATCAAGTCAAATTCAGACCCCTAAATGTCAAAGTACTGAAATTACAGAATTAACTGATACATAAAGATCAAACAAGTACACCTATTTAATATTTCTTTTTATTATAGATATTAAGTTATTATTTATATCCAACTCGACCTAATAATAGTGGGTGCTCCCTTTAACAATATACCAAAGAATTTAAATCTAATCGCCGTAAATTAAAATTCATTAGGTAGACAACTGCGCAAGAATGCAAAGAAGTGCATTGTTTTTTTATGGTAGCACAATCATCAAATTACTTCTCCGGCCCAAGGTGGGGTGAGAGAGAGGGACAGTCAGACTCTTACTGACTATCTAAATAAAATCAACCCGTTCCTTCATGCTCTTGCATCCGCAACCCCTTCTAATAGTATATACCTACAACACCTGCAACTGCATTAGCAAGAAGATGACTAACGGCTGATTTTTCAAAAGTCAGATAAATATTATCTGTGGAATAAAATTGTTTGCTGTCACTATCTGATACCAACATTCTGACGCGACAGCATCATAATTATTCCCCAGGTATCAGCCCTAAGAAATATGCATAGAAAATAACTAAAGATAGGACATTTTGAATTACCTACAATTATAGTTTGTTTTTAGTATTCAGGCTGAGGCAAGTCTTATTTTTACTAAACTATTTAGAATATGGATGCGATAAATGAGGCAATGCCATTTATTGACTAGGTTTAGTACTTACATCAAACATTAGAATAGTAATTCTTTCTAGATTTAAATAATCATAGCAGTATGTTTGTATCTAAGTAAGGTTTTTTTATGATTATGCAGAAATTACTTTGTATGTCTATATTCATATGAACCTCAACTGAGATTAACTTCTTGTTTTGCTGCATACAACCACGTACATCTCTACACTTCCTGAAGGATGACTGGCACAAATGGTGTTAACATGAATATAAATATAGTGTAAAAGTATAGTAAATACACGTGCAGTTAATTATTATGTATAACGGCTTATTACCATAACGTTTACGTTAACGAAACATTTAAAGTGTGGGAGAGCCAAGCTTCGACACGAATGTGTCGGCTTGACCGGAGTGATACCACGGCCTCACAGAAAATCGGCGTGAAACCACCACAGCTTTGTATTTCGCCGTGTGAGGGTTACTGGAGGCCCAATCTTTCCCCTCCCCCGATCCCTTCCCAATCCCTTAATCTCCAAAACCCTAAGAGTTCGGCAACGCACTCGTAACTCCATCGCTGCAGGTGTCCATGGACGGCGCTGATTGCTTACCATCAGGTAATCCGTCTGCTCGTTTGCCGACCTATGACATAAAAAAAAACGTTATAGTGAGATAGCTCTAATAGTTTCAGACCACGCTAGGGGTCATCATCGCTCATATCCATGAGAAGCAGTGCAGTGTGCGACACACAAAGCGTCATTGGTTGGAGTTCACGAGGAAACCAAATCAAGGCG